TACGGGTTGGAGGTTTTTTTTTTTTTTTTTTTTTTTTTTTAAATAGACCACCGCTCTTTTTGCAGGTGCTATCTTCAACAGACGCAAAACAGCAGCATCAATGCAAAAGAGCCCCTAAATACACCCCATCCTGAATAAAACTGCTCCTTTTCGCCCTAAAGCCAGGTCAGCCTTACGGGATTCAAGTCCCTTAGTAGCCAGCACGAGTTTTCCTGGGCTCTGGGGAAGCTCTGCCACCAAGGACTGTGACTCCACAGGAAGGGCCCAACCCATCCGGGGAACAGCCAGATGTTTTCACACCGACAAGAGAATTTCTGGGTGTTATTTCTCCCCTATAAAATACCCAGTAAAAGCCATCCTTCCACGTGCACTGCAGGCCCGGTCCCGTGCCTGAGGTTTGTTTACAGGTTTGGAAAGGGAAGGGGTGCTGCTTTACCCTGAGGATGGGATAAAACAAGTCTGCAAGAGCAGTGTATGCAGAGACATGAAGCAACTCTTCAGTTCACACCAAGGACAGTTAATATGCAAATATTTAATTTTCTTAATTTTTTTATTACTGTAATCCTGCTGCACAGAGAAGAATCCTGTGTAGTTTTATAGCTCCAAATAACACCCCTAGATTTCTAATTAAATCCCAGGCACTGAAGTCAATAGGGAAGTCAGCCCAAAGCAACACGAGCGCACAAGTGATTCATTGAGAGTAGGAGGATCAGCGTTAGACAGGAAATACATTTTCCAAGACTCTACAATTTTCCTAGAAGAATTATGATATGGAATGACTACACAAAAGTCTTCCAGAAGAATTTTAGGCTGGTTAGAAGAAACCAAAGATCAACTCAAATGCTCCTGATCCCACATACATCTATTCCACTGGGGGTGGGGTGGGCAGAACCCAACCCCCAAAAACAAATTACAAAAAACCCTCTTTGCTTTGCAATTTGGACAGCAGGAAAGCCATTCTAAAGGTAAACATGCGTATCTTCTTACTATAACAGTACTTAAGTATCAGGATCCTCCAGTGAGATCAATTTGGGGACAAATAGAGTTTTCTCAGTCATCACACAGCTCCCGCCACAAAAAAAAGGAAGGAAAGAAAAAAGTAAAATAAAAGCAGCTCCACCCCAAAGCCAGACCGTACAGCAGCTACATTTCCTCCTATCTGTGTCCTTGCTCACCAGCACATGAGGCCCCTGCCTGCCCCGTTATCTCCCTTGGCCAGCGAGGTGGCTCATACAAGAGAGCTCCCACCTACAGACACGTTTCGGAACAAGGAAGGCAAAGGAGAGTGCTGCGGTGCCAACCATGCCGTGTTGCTGTACAGCTGGAGAGCCCAGGTCTTTTTTTGCCTTACCCTCTTTGCAAAGGAAGTTTGCAAGAGCACAGATAGGAAGATGAAGCAAGGCGGGAGGGAGTTCAGGGAGGGAAAATGCTCGCAGCTGCAGCAGCCAGCACAGTTTAGGGTCTCTGAGCTTTGCAGCAGACCAAAGGCACAGAGTGAAGCAGCACCTAAACCTCACACTGAGAAAGAACCAGCATCTGTCCTCACCCCAGGAGGCGGGACAGCCCTTCATCCTCCCCAAGGGCAGGACGGAGAAGAGGCAAACAAGGAATTGGACAAAGCTTCCTCAGGGGTAGAGAGGAGATTTCAGGGGGAGCTGGAAATAGCCATGGATGCAGAAGAAAAACCCTTTAATACGGTGGCAGAAGAGCCAACCAGCTTCTACTTTTAGTTTGGTCTTTTTAGCGCGAGACTGCTGTTTCCTCTCTACCTTTCAGAAAACTTTGATACAGAACTGCAACGCTCTCTTCTTTGCTGTACCAAGACACTGGGCAAAGGTACAGTCAAAACAACTCCACAGGTAAGCTATCATGGAATAAAACCGGCCAGGTTTGCAAGCGGTAGAAAGATTGGTTGAATCGAAGAGCTCGTTTAGGAAACAGCAGAGCACAGGCTCCTAACGCTCCAGAAGTGCAACCGCAGCAACATAATTTCAGTGCTTAAGTGGTCAGAGGTGTATTAACACACTGAATCGCTTCTGAAAGAACGTAACTCCACAAAACAAAATTCAAGTCAAAATTAAGATGGCTTTACGTTCAAAGAGATTTAAGAATGCCGTAGAAAATACATGTGTGCAAAAGGAGGACGATTTGGGCTTGTGGGGCTTCTCCCAACTTCACTGCCATGTGCACGTTCACTGCTGCATCGTACCCAATTCTCTCACATACAGTACAAGCAGTAGAAACTACCACCAGCTTATACAGTTTTTATAAGTATTAAAATTACCCGCAGCTATTTGCCAATAGCCTCTCAGCCTGCAGTCTTGCGCATCCCACTCTCCTCCCCTTCCACTCTGACTTGCCATCTCCTCCTTAAGAACTTGCTGTTTTGCAGTTAACCAGAGGCAGCACCATCCCCCCCGGGAGAGGGCATTGCTCTCCAAGGACCCTCTGGGTTATTAACAGGGCACTTTTCCAACGCGCTGGCTGCTGCACAGAGGTCTCCTCTCAAACCTTAGCCCCCTTGTGAGAACGTTGGGCCTCATCCAGGCACACTACAGCCTTGACAGTTAGTGAGCACGTAACGGTGTCAGTATGCAGAGAGGGAGAAGTGGAAAGGTGACCTTAGTAAAGCTACATTCCATCTAAAACAGCCTGCTACCACAAAAGTATGACAGAAGGACTAAAAACCTATTCCTCGTTTGTTTTTCAGAAGTCTTTGTAATTTTAAGGAAAATTCCAGCTCCTGAATCTCTCTCCAAACATCTACTGAACTTCCCTGAAAACGCACAGTAAGACTATAATTTTTACATTTCTTTCCTCATATTCTGTCACCAAAACACAGAATAAACCTTTGCCTGATGTAAGTAGCCTGGGTGAACACCCTTTCTGAGCCTTGTTATATACCTGCATGAGATGAGTGGGCCTCAGCTGGCCTGAACCAATTTAGTTGTATCACACTGCAGTCTCTGTAATATTACAGACACGTAGATGAGCAGTCAGAATTAGGGAGGACAATCTGAACTTGTTCGGAGAGATAGGTTAAGGGAATAAGCGTCCTCAGCTAATTTGTGTTTAGCTGCATCAAAGCCTGGAAGATTAAACTTGCAGAAGTTGTATAGGGTCAACCTTATCACTGTCTACACCACAATGCATAAACAAATCAAAGCACTAATTGGAGTAAGTACTAATACAAGTAAGTACTAGTACAAGACAGACCAAATGAACTGTACTTACCTTTCCTCCCTCTCCCAACAAACTGCTACATAGTGAGAAACAGTGGAAGAGCAACATGCCATAGGTAACCAACCACCAGAGATAACACTGCAATACTTACCTAAACAGCTAAGAAACCACCCGCAGGTGAATGTCTAGCAGAAAACCTAACAAGCAGGTGGCTAGGTTGGTTCCCGTAGTACATAACCATGTCTTCGATAGCATTTACGATAAGGCACCATCAGGTGCTTGGGTAGGGATATTACACATCATACAGCTCCAACTGCCAAGCGTTTCTTGCCCAGCCTGCTGTTCTGCCTTCTCCTCTGCATTCCCGGGGTGGCTCAGGGCTCTGCTGCCCCTCTCCCCCATTCTGCGGGTGCCATCTGCTCGAGCAGGTGCTTCCTGGTTGTCCGCATACTTCTGCTCGAGCGTTGCTCTGTGGTTT